GTGTACGTGTACACACATGATGATATTATCAGGAGTAGATAATAGGGATTCCCTATTATCTACTGCTGATATTATGCAGCGCAGTCTCCGTCTGTTCGTTAAAAGGGCTAGTTGGAGATTGCATGGCTCGCAAAGTTAATTATTCTTCCAAACAGTGAACGTGCGCGTCTGCTCTTGCCTGCATGCCAAGCACGACAGTTTGTGGATTCTAATTTCTACAGACTCTTCTTCGCGAAAATTCGAGATAGAACGTAGGCGGCTAGTGTTAATGAATGTGTATAACTGACTGCACTGGACTCGCTATGCGGTGGTCGTGCGTACTGGTCTGTAGGTCGCGTCAACGGTACATCTGTGGATTGATTTGATTCTACTGGGCGAGTAGATATGATGAGAGAGTCACTATATTATACACTCCTGACGTTATGATGTGAGTTGATCTGCGAACTAAAGCCGACGTGGGACGCCGCATAATAGCCGGCAAATTCCGTTCGTGGAAGTTCCTTCATTTGCGTGTGATAGACCGAAAAATGCTGCTGCAAAAGAATACCTAGCGAACGTAGGTAATAAGACGTCGGTGGCCTGCTGCTGCGGCTGCAAGCACGCGAAGCTAGCACAGACGGTAGTGCACGCGATGCAGAAACACCGAGAAATACGTAGAACTGTGAAGTCTTCATTACGTGCGACGCAATCAGGGGTCCTACTTGAGTAAATTTGCCGTGCGCATACGTCACTACGAGTAAATCCGATTCTATGTATCTATTCGAAGACGGAGGGATGACGTATGTGTTGCGCAGACGGACGGATGACGTATGTGTTGCGCAGACGGAGGGATGACGTCTATATATATGTGTTGCGCAGACGGACGGATGACGTATGTGTTGCGCAGACGGAGGGATGACGTCTATATATATGTGTTGCGCAGACGGAGGGATGACGTATGTGTTGCGCAATATGCAGGAGCGTAGCTTGGAGTGTATGAGCTACAGGCTGAAAGAGCTTGTACAAAGACGTCTCCCTCTCAGAAGGCTCATATCACACCACCAGCATTAATTATACACGCAGAGGTCATAGCCCCCGACATAGGGTTACAAAACTACGTACAACGGGCCATAATAAAAAATATTGTTTGTTTGTCCTCACCCGAACAACCCATCAAAAAGGGGCCGACGCAAACATTTTTATTGATCTTTCCCATTTTTTTTTTACAAATTGTATCACTGCACATTATATAAATCTGTAGGCAATACATTATATGTACCAAGCAAAACAAACATTCAACATAAAAGGTATCCCCACACAAGCACACCCGATCATGTGGACGCTATGCTGAATTTGTAAAAAGACGCCCCTAAAAAAAGCGTACCTACCTACCCAAACTTTTAGCTTACTAACAGTAGAAGTTCAAAATAATGGTGAGCGCTGTTATTTTTTAACGCGACTCCTTTTTTTAAACGCGCTGTAAACCATTCTCGCTCTCGTAGCTGGTTATTATAACCAACTCGCTTTTTAAAAAAAGCAAGTGAGACGATCAAACGTTTCGCCTGCGCTCGTAAAACCGACAGAAGCTGATTTGCTGCCTGACTGCTACCTGTGGGGAATGAAAGATCAACGGTACCCAGACGGGCCTCTAGGCGGACGCTGCATTATTGGAAATTATAATTAATCAGTGGGGACAGTGAGGCCAGCATCTACTGTCCGTCATAACAGGATGTAACCCCTTAAAACGCGATCATAAGGTGTCTCAGCTGCGCCTCCTCCCCTTTTTTTTGGCAGCCAATTCTTCTGCTTCCAACTTCACAGTATCACAGATTTTACATTTATGTTTAGACTCATTCACAGTATGCATGTGTGCATGTGTAAGACTTTATGCCAATCAAACATCAAACATTACGCATATATAATTATCAAGAGTATATAATGGGAGATATGATATAATGGAAGTTCTCCCATATATACTCTTGAGTCTTGTTTTATATAACGTAGGTGGATAGTTGCTGAATTAAAAATGACTTGTTGGCACTCGCTCATTTGTGTACTTTTTTGTGGTGAGCTATAGTGTCATTGACACTTTCATTTTTGACAAATTCAAATTGACAATCAATATTGAGATTTTCTATAGAGGGATTTGCGGATTGTTTTGTTACATGTGGATTTAGCTTTTCGTGATTATCTCTTAGATAACCCAGTCGAACTTTCCAGTCTTCAGTTTTATCAGAAGGTATTATTATGGCGCAGACATAATTATATTGAGCTTCTTTCCTTGCTTTCGTGCTATTCTAATTGAACTGTGTCGTAGAAAAATGAAAATAAGCCTGTGATTTCACTCTCTCAAAATAGCAAAAAAACAACATGCAATTTCCTCGTCGTTCGCTCAACACTCCTCGCCGGAGATCCGCTGTGTTTTGATTTGCGACTGAATTTGCAACTGCATTTGTAAGTCTTTTTCTAACCGCATTTAATCAGCTTGTGGGTATGTTTTGGCCGAGTCTGACTGTGATTTCAATGAGCGCTGCCATACTCGGTTGCATTCATGATATACCGATCAGCTTATATTCAATCGTTTCGTTTCCGACGAAAAATGTGTTGGTGGCAACTGAATTAGATTTACTCAGGTTCATTTACCCCTCTTACATGCTACATGCTTCCTAATAATTCTCGTCCTACATACTAAAACCATACTAATGTAGGTAACTCATTTATGCATGATAAAAAGATAAAATTGCCTCTATTAAAGACAAAATAGACATATATATAATGAAGCTAATACTGTATTACTGTACCGCAGAAAGAATGGATGGGGATTTCAGCGTAGGCGGGTTCACATTTCTTGCACGCCAATATGGAAG